TACTACACACAAAAGACAATGGTTAAAGGATTCAGCATCGGAAGTAAAATTCCTTTAAATAATATGTGGAAAACCATTCTTTATCTGATGAAAGTCACAAGACATGAAACACATGTAGCAAAATATATAGAATAAAATATATATTAAAAAAATCCACATTATAATCAAAAACGTTTGTGGCTTTTTTTCTCATATATATATATATATATATATATATATATATATATATATATATATATATATATATATATATAAAGCAAAGTCTTTGAGCTCACATCTGGCAAGAAACCACACATACATACAAAGATCTTATAAAATAAATTCTTAGAATTTGCATTCAGATTTGAGAATAAATGCACACAAAGAGAGAATGTATTTAAGAAAAAAAAAAAAATATGCATCCATCTTAATAATTCATAGACTCACACACTGAAAGCTGACTTGAAGCAGCAGTCACTTTGACAGTTGTGTTAGTAGTGCCAGTACCACAGCTGCTTGCAGACTATGGTTCCAGTGTTTAAAGTAGGAGACAGGAAGGCTTCTGCCCAGGAAATTGCAGAGCCATTTAAATACACTGCTCCCCAAACTAAAGTAAGATCGAGGCAAGGCATACATATCGCTTGCTTAATAATATCAACTTGTTTGAAGTCAAATCCACACTGGTGGGAGGAGAGCATGAGCAGGCTTCTCAGTAAACAATTTGGCTTTACAATTTAACCCAAACAGCAAATTTTGTTCATTTTTCAGAAACCGAACTGACTTCAGTATTAATGTACAACACATACTGACTACTGACAGAAAAATTAATATTTTTCGTTTCAAAATTCATGGTTACTTCAAAAGTCTTCTCATTCTCTTTCACTCTTTTTTTTCCACTCAGCAACTGGTCTTTTAAACATCTATTTGTTAAAAAAAAAAAGACATTTTGTGTCTATTAAATTTAAGGATTTTTTTCTAATGCATGAATTATGAATATCCTTTCACAAATGTGGTTATTGTGTGTGGATAAATTAGCCAAAATTCGTGTTGTGTAATCCAAGCTTTCGACTCACATGAGACATCATTAGAGGTGTGAGTGAGAAAAGAAAATTAAGTGCATTTTAAAAACTAGATTGTATTATCTTTTTTTGCAGATGTCATAATATGCAACAAGTCATGTAACAGCAACATCCAATAATGTATTCATTTTTTTTTTTTTTTTTTTTTTAATATGCATTCCCAAATGTGGTCTCAGTAGTTATTCTTATTTATGGATGGCTGTTTAAGTTAGATGTAAATGTCTTCTATAGCCATCTGTCTTTTTTGTAATTAGATTTTAAATATTCTAGTATTATTAGAAAGGAGTTTTTTTTTGTTTTTTTTAACAATGATATTTACCTTGTACAAGGCCGAAGAGCCACTCAAGGTAGGGGGTTACAGAATAATATGCTCAGTTTATGGGGGATATGTGGAGAAGATAATGGTTGACCCTAGACTTGAACAGGTTAAGATTGTAATGATTGGAAAAGCATTCTCTCGAGAGTTGGTTTCAAAGCTGTAGTATGCCTAATATTACTAATCTTCTGGTGATTGTTGATGTGTCATAATTCTATTTTGATCAAATAGACAAAAAAAAAAAAAAAAAAAATTTTTTTTTTTTTTTTAATACTAGAATTTTTTTGCAATATGCTGAAATCTTTACAGTATTTAGTATTGTTGAAGTTATTGTTAACATTTTTTGTCAAGATTTATTGACTCTACATTGACAATTTTTTAATTTTATAGGACTTTTTTTTTTTTTTAAAGAAAATTTATTTTTATCCTTTTGACAGTGAAGAATAAATTCTTAAGATTTCTTACTCTTGAGCATGTAACATAAAACTGGCCATGCGTAAATATTTGTTTCTTGAGCCAAACTCCAACTTTTCGAAGCATTTGGTGTTGCGATTTATTTATAGTTCTTGCAAACAGGGTTAAGTGGAAACTGGATTCTTGTATATATAAAAAACTTAAAAAGATATGCAAAAAAAAAAAAAAAAAAAAAAAAAAAATGTATTTTTATTAAATAAACATTTTAATCATTAAATTATTTTTATATTAGTATGAGTATTTTATGTTAAATAAAAATTTTCATTTTCAAAAAAAAATTTAATGAAAATTTATCATACTAAGCTACACACCTTAGTAAAACCAATTGTACTTAACTATTTTCACTTTTCCCCAAAATTTGGTTTTGATTGGTCAATGTATGGCTATTTTCAAGGGTGTGATGGACTAACGGAAGTCACAAAATTTTATATACAGGTAGATGTAAAAACACTTAAAGTCACCCAATACCAGGTGCAAGAGCCACTGTGCATCTGCGTTTAAAAATTCTTAACCCAGACAAGAAACCTTTATTTTTGAAATTATCTGTTCGTTTTATAAAAATTGTGCCAAATTTTCTTCACATTTTTCTTTCTCTTTCAGAGATCTCAAGAGAATTAACATCCTCACAAAACTAAGGACTCATTCAAAGCTAATATGATGGGCATAAATTTTTTTTTTTTTTTTTTAAAATACTGGGGTTTTCTATATGTTTGTTTTTCTTTAAAATTTTTTCTTATATATACAGGTGCACCATATATGTCCTGACATCTCAGCTTCAATCACTTTCCTACCACTGTAATGTAGCTTTACTGTGTCTTTTCTATAAATATTTTCATGCTAACTGTTCTGATGAGCTTTCTTCTTTGGTACCTCGACTTCACAAATTTAAGTGCAGAACTAGATAGGCAGCTATGTCTCATCATTTTATGGTTGAAATGGATAGGTGTAACACCGTAAATTCAATGCTACAATTTCTCCTATCACACTTGTGCAACATTTGTCTTTCCAGTTAACTTATTTTGATACATGTTTCATTAAAAATGACTGAAAAGTTACTGTAGTTAAGGTTTTGTTTTTTTTAATTTTTCTTGCATTCTTGTAATTTTCTTCTATTCTGGATGCAAATTATGTAGAAATTGCCCAAACGTTTTGTATGTCCAAGCACTTTCAGCTATACTTTTTATCCATTATGAAAGATGAGAATGTACGGATTGTTTTACGTATGTATCTCGAGTTATAGGAATGTTTTATTTTACAAACACAGTCAGCTCATTGTAGCTGTGTTCATAGTTGACATTATCAAGTGTTTGCTTTTTTAATTTTTTTTATTAATAATGCTTCTATTATTTTTAGCCTTTTTTTTTAAAACATGTAGATGAAGCTATTTGTATTATCAATAAGTATGTTGTGGATAGAGTTTGGTAGGTCTCCATGTGTATGTATATGCACATGCATGTGTACTGCCAGTTAAAAGTTTTGCATTTCCTGTGTCTCACTTAAAAATTACTCTAGCAGGAAATAAATATTAGTTCTCAATGTTTTTTTTCTTTCAGAAAAACCATTTCATACATTAAATTCCCCAGCTTTTTGGGATAGTACCTTGTAAGTTCTATCACAATAGACATGCACTTATTACCATCCATTTTGTGTGTCACTTAACATCAAAGCTTAGAGTATTGATCTTATGAAACAAGAATCATGGTTTCGGATTTCACTAAAAAGGATTATCTGGCATTTTGAGTTATAGATTAGCCAAGTAATTATTTAGATTGTAAATCAAAATTTCTTTTCAATAAAGGAGAGAAAAAAAATGCAATGGAGTCATCCTGTAATGTTCTGGGTGTGTGTGTGATACAAATGTAAGAATTTTTTTTTCAACCCTGTTCGATAAGAACTTTAAAAGCACAAAAATAATTGATAGACCAAAACTGTGTCCAACACTATGATTGCTTTTAAAGAGAACTTGGTAGTGCATTTATTTTGTGCATTTTCTCAGCAGTAAATAAAATTAGAATCCAGTGCAGTATTATTTTGTAAAGGGAAATTGGTCTTTAATTCTCCTAAACAAATGAATGTTCAATAATTGAAAACAGATTGATCTGGATTTCAGCATATATCATTCTATACTGTGCTTACACTATTATTACAAATCCTTATTCATAGCTGTTAAAGCAAAGTCACTATTTTTATTTTAATATACCATTGCTATGCAAAAGATAGCTGGAGGGAAGCAGCGAGCAGGGAGGGGAGTTCTTATGTGCAAGGAGAAATTGTACAGTACTTTTAGCTAAACTATTAACCATTTCCAAGGTTTTTGATTGTGCCAATGAAAATGGTGTTTTAGTTGCTGATACAAATACAGGTTTTGAATTACATAACACTGCCAGTAGATTAAAGCAATTTTCAGAGTTGATGTTGTTATTGATTGCTTTTTGTTCTGTAACGAGTGCTTCTATAATTCTTTTTTTTTTATATGCTTTCTATTTAGAGAGAGATGTGTATTATATTTGCATTTTCAACAAGTATTGTGTGTGTCAGTTGACAACCAGTCTAACAGAAAGAAAACTTTGCAAAACTTTGAGAAGGGCTGTTTGGGGACATTATGGCACACAATGTGCACAAGCCTCCACCACTATAATAAAATAGCCTGTGTAGATAGTCTGTTCAGTTCTAGATGAATTGTTGGACTCTCATACATTGAAGATGATGAGAGACTTCACACACACTTGTTTCTCTTACATGCACACACTTAAAACAAAAACAAAAAAGCTAAACACTTCACATTTTAAGTTTCTAAGTACTCTTGCCTGCAGAATAGATGGGCTGGCCACAGTTATTTTAATTTAAATTTTGTTTTCAACTGACCCACTGTTATGCCAGATCCCACATCACTTATTTCATTTTCTACTTTTCTCCAATCTGTATTTATTCCAACAATGTCTCCCTTTTTTTTTTGAATTTTCAAACCTCCCCTTTTAATCAGACTTCTATTCCTAACTTAATAGTAATAATAATAATAATATATATATATAAAAACTTAGTGAAGTTGTTTATTTTAACCATTAATAAATTCCATGGAGATTCCTCTTACCTGCCTTCATTTTTGACACAAGAAAGTGTTAATTTATAATGAATCATTTTTGTTAACTGACCTTTGAAGTTGGGATTGAGGATATCTTTACGGCCTGCAATCAAAGCATTAGCATAACACCAATCTATGCAACATAACAGTAAATGGTAAGAGTTGACAAGATCATCACTAATGGAGGGAAAGTGACCTGGAAAAAAAAAAAAAAAATATAGCAATTAACTTTTTAGTTAAGTTTTTCAAATGAGAAACGCCATCAATTTTTATTATTTACATTTTCTTTATATGAAAAATTACAAAACAAGACATTCAAAAATTGCTTATGATTCTAGCACTTTCTAAGATGGAAAAAAAGAAAAAGGTTAAAATGAATGAATCAGTATGAAAGAAACCCCCCCCCAAAAACAAAAGAATACATATTTCTACATTTTTATACACACACATTATATATATATATATATATATATATATATATATATATATATATCCCATGTCGATAACACTACTTGGAGTTTCATACAATCTTCAGGTGTGGATTTACACCTGGAGATCGCATGAACTGCACGAAGCTGAGTAGTATTATCGACGCTGGATATTATGTATATTCACTAAGATATAATTATAGCTCTGTTTCATAATATTGAACACTGTTTTTACAACACCTTAGGAATAAACATACTTACGAAGACGCAAGTATTTGTATGTTCTATCCATTGTGGGTGTATATAAGTTATGGGAAAACAATATATAAATTTTAATATATCAAGAATAACTTTATGAAAATCTATGACAAAATGGAAAAATTTTTCAGGACTCCAGACTAAAGTGATGTTTATATTGACATGATTACATGTGCGCATAAATGAGAGGAAATGCTGAAATTTTAGATGAATTTATTTTTCTTATTATTTTTTTTTTTTAAATGCTTGATTTGGGTATACAGACCAGCTGAATTCATGTTTTACTTTGTGCTTATGTTTTTAGCATTTTTGTTATTAATTATCTCACATTGTGATAATACAAAATCCATCAAGAAAGGTGAAATGGTGTAAGAACCTGGACATATATTTACTGTGGATGATCTAGCGATTAAAGTTATCCCATTGAAATGAAGGAGAAAAAAAAAAAAAAAAAAAAAAAAAAAAAAAAAAAAGAAAATTAAAGTTTTTTTTTTTTTTTTTTTTTTTAATACAAACCATTTTCTTTGGATTTTTCATAATTATCTTAAAGACTTGGGTTGTCTCATTTATAAAACAATGTTATAATTATAATCCAAAATATGGATTTTAGTAGTTAATTCCACAATGACCTTATAAAATCTCATAAGCCTATTTGATGGCATATAAGCACCCACCCCTAAGGCTCAGAAAATATCTCCCAAACCTACATATATGAAAATGATGTATCAGGTAGATCGAGGTTCAGAGATTTCATAGATGACTAGTATTTGCACTTAATCTAACTGCATAATGCATGAACGTTAAATGGAAGAGAGTGTGTATCTTGTATGCCATTATTTATGAAATATAAACAATAAGAAAAGGGATTTGATAACAGGAAAAATAGGAAGTGATTATGCAGAGTCGGGTGATTAAGTAAAAGGCAGCATACCTTTGACTTGAACAAACATTGTCCAACAGAAAGCAAATAAATCATTAACAGAACATGGCATCTTTCTGAAATGGAGAAAACATAAAAACATTAAGAGAGAAATTAGGATCAAATATGGATTGGAATAGAATCAGACAATAAGATGACAACAAATATGAAAGGTTTATCAATTTAACAGGTTTCATTTTTATTAAAACTTCATGAGAAAAAGAAAGAAATTCTGGTAATTTTCACTTTTGTGTTCGATTTTAATTGGTCAATCATGTATCATGTGCACTTGACTAAGTGTAATTTGCAGTGTTCCAAATTTACTGAGAGAGAACAGGTCTAACTGAATTCTAAAGAGAGCAGACATCAAGTTACCAATTAGGAGAAGTGTACAGAAATTAATATTTGGCAGATAATTAAGAGGCTATGAGAAGCAAATAATAATTGGTAGATAATTAAGAGGCCACAAAAAGCAAAGTAGTCATTGGTTAAATATCAGGTTTTTAGAACCATTTAAGCTTCAGGAGTATAAAAAGATGTATAACAATCTTGTATTAAGAGATTTTTTGCCTCAGGCCCAGTCATTAAAATTGATTTTTTTTTTTTTTTTTTTTTACAGCTTATCAACCTTTTGCAGCTTATTCAAAGCCAGAAAATATTTTTAGATTGTTTGGAGATAATGATTTACTGATACAAGTCCTACTAATTAACCCATAGCTGGAGGAAAAGTGAATTCATACCTTTCATAAGAGTATTTAAAGGAATAATTAAATACTATATTATTTTTCCCAAGCTGGCATTGCTAGAGACTAAATGACAAAGAAAATGAGTGACTTTTAAAAAAAATCATTTAACAGTTCATATTCTTGGTCTTAAGTGTTCAAATTCTGATATGAATATAACAAACCTGACTGGAATTATAACTCGGCTCTCCATTAATAATTCCAAGCCATTATCCATCACACCACTTGCACATCCAAGCACCTAGTATTCCCAAGTGGTTACCGATCTAAGTACTAACCATGCTTGATGTTGCTTAACTTCAGTGATTGTACGAGAACCGGTATATCAAAATATACCTAAGAACAATTAGAACATTCAGCCATTAAGAGATGTTAAATGTATAAAGGCAGCACCTTATTTTTGGTGAAGACAGAAAGAATTGGAAAAGAATCAGGCAGAGGGAGGACATAGCAGGTTGGCAGCCATTGGGCCATCAGGTTGCATTGACATTTGCAATTAAAGTTTTGGCCATCAAGATTAAGTGCACCAAAACAAATTACAATATAGTTATTAAAAAAAAAAACTAAAACAAAAGTGAAACTAATCCATAGGAACTGTAGAAATTGCATCTCTTTCTTCAGACATGTGATGATTGGAGCCTGCAACAAAAACAAATTATGGAAGTAGTGTGCAAATTTGCTGCCAATTAATCTCAGTAGTTAGCCACTAGTGTGAAAACTCAATGACTATACAGATAATAATAATAATAATAGCATTATTATGTATTTCATTCAGTTGCAGACTTTAATAATGCCTTTTGCATTAGCATGTTAGCTAATTAAATATTCCCAATACAAAAAAAAATAAAAAAAAAAAGAAAAAAAGCTTGGTATATTTTTCAGTGTATAAGACTTCCTTTTTTTTTTTTTGGTTCTGGTTTTTTTAACCCCCAAAATTGATATCAAATTCTTGCATCCTATACATCAGTGGTCAGCAACCTTTTGGAGAGAGCAGGCCAGACTGCTATGCAGTGTCTCAGAGGAGGGAAATAATACCAAATGTACTATAATAAAATGTCTTGACCTCAGACCACTCTGTCCATCAAGGCTGCCTTAGTCTGGTAGTTTAAAGAAAAAAAAAACAACAAAGTTAATATTATATTATTTAAACAAGGTTCCTTATTTTACTGCAGGAATAACAGGATAACAACTAATGCAATCAGCAAAAAAAAAAAAAAAAAAAAATGCAAATTCATTAGTACAGTTAAGTTGGTGGGCCAGATGTGGCTCAGGGGTTGCCAACACCTACTATTCACCAAAGGGTGGGGGGTGGGGAAATATGAAGATCAAATATGGATCAGAATCCAACAAGAACAAATATGAAACATATCAATCTAACATGTTTCACTTTTATTAAGGCTTCATCAGACATTGAGAGAAAACAGACAAAAAGACAGAAACACTGGTATTTTTCAGTTATGTTTGGAATTTGCTGCCACTTTTTCTAGAATCCTTAAAATCTGGCAAATTTAGACACATCATACCAAAGAGCTCTACTCTCCTAAAATATATAGATGACATCCACTTATTATATCCCCAAGATACAAACCTATTAGATATAATAATGAAACCCAATAAGGTTGAACCTACCTTTGAATTTGCACACAATTCTCTAACTTTCCTAAATATCTTAATATGCAACAATGAGAAATTAGATTTTAGTTTATCATAAACCCACAAACAAAAAAATCTGGATTAATCATAGGATTCTACCTCAGAGCATTTAGGATATGTAGCCCAGAATACAGAAATGAAAAAGAGAAATATATTGAGAAAACTTTCAAACTTCTTCACTACCCACCTCATTTTATCCTCAATGCTAAAAACTGAGCTTACAAAATCCACAAAGACAAAAAAATAGACACCACCAATTACACTTCTAACAAAAATTACACAAAATTCATAACCCTGCCCTTCAACATTGTTCCTACTAAACTGGTAAACAAATTAGTCATCCCTAATACTAGGATTGTTACTACCACCTCCAAGACCAACAAAGATGTAATTAAGAAGAAAAATAAATCCAACATCAATTCAAATCCAGGATTTATCAAATTGTTTACAATGCAAAAATGTTTATGTGAGGAAGACATCACATGATCTAAAAGTCTGCATCTGCGAACACAAGAGAAACTTGTGTTTGGACAAATGATCTTGTTTTGTATCAAAATGATGCTGAACATCACTTTGATTTCGCTAATAGCACCCTAATTAAAAAAGAACATAATTCTTTAAAGAGAAAATACATTGAAAACTTACTAATAACATTACCAATTATAAACACACATCTAAACATTATAGTGCCATCTTTCTTTCAATCCATTCTTAAAGAATCTAACTTATATCTAATACAAAGAATACATGCTTAATGAGGTCAGCCCTAAATTAGAACCATGTGAAACCCCACTGCGCAGACTAACCACACAAAGGTGAAAACATCAACTCTCACTAGACAGACATGCATAATTATGAATACACATTACCATCTGATGCCCACTTAGACACACAAGAATCTTCACAAACTTACTCACACATAGAATTAGCTACATTTTTAATGCAGATGACACATGTTTGACCAATAAAAATTGACCCAAACATAATTGAAAATACCAGTGTTTCTGTCTTTTTGTCTGTTTTCTCTTAATTTCTGATGAAGCTTTAACGAAGGTGAAACATGCTAGATTGAGGTTTCCTATTTGTTCTTTCTTTTACATATATGTGTGTGTGTGTGTGTGTGTGTGTGTGTGTGTGTGTGTGTGTGTGTATACAGGGTGCAATGGATAAATTATCATCTAAATTACACAAAAATTAAAATAATACTGACATCTCATTTTAATAAATATATTTATCAAAATTACACAAATATATCTTGAAATAGTAAATACTGCAACTCTTCCGGATGGTCAGTGTGTTTAAGTTGGTAAATGCTACCATAATCCTTGCCTTCAGTTCATCTTTGGTGTTACAAGGAGTTTTGTTGGTCTCTCGCTCAGCCGTGCCTCAAGCATAATAATCAAGGGGGTTGTAGTCTGGGGAATTAGGTGGCCAGATGTAAAAGGTGATGTGATTACAGAAATTGTTTGACAGACTGGATTCTCCTGCCTGTGTGACATGGTGCAGAGTTCTGTTGCCAGACAAAGAGTCTTCCAGCAGCCACCCTCTTAACTCTGGGCAGCATTACCTCTTCAAGGCACTTTAGGTAGGCCTCTGCGTTGAGTCTGAGGGCCTCCTTAACAAATTCAGGAGTTCTTTTCTTATCAGAATGATCAGGGTGATTTTTTTTGTGCTGCCGTACCTTCGCAATCACACTTAGACTCATCCAACTTTTTCTGAATCCTCTGCACTGACACCCAAACATTCTGAAATGTTCATCATGGAGCTAGTAGTGCAAATGCCAAACAGTACAGCAAGCTGTTTCCAAAATTTCTGGCAGAGTGAATTGCATCATGGTACTCTTTTTTTAAGATAGATGTTTGCCCAAATGAACCTACTATGCTGTGCAGTTGACAAAATCAAAACAAAAGCACATTTTTAAAATTAAAAATATAAAATGGCAACAATTTAGATAGATAGGATATAGATAGATATAGATATAGATAGATATATTTATAGATAGATATTAGATAGATAGATATTTAGATAGATATAGAGATAGATAGATATAGAGATAGATAGATGATATAGATAGATATATAGATAGATATATAGATATTTAGATGGATGATTCAGATGGGATATAGAATATATAGAGATATATAGAGATAGATAGATATAGATGGATAGATATATAGAAATAGATAGATATAGAGATAGATAGATATAGATATAGATAGATAGATAGATAGATGATGGAGAATAGATAGATATATAGATAGATAGATATAGAGATAGATAGATATAGATGATAGATAGATATATGATAGATAGATATAGAGATAGATAGATAGATTTGGATAGATGATATAAATAGATAATGAATAGAGATAGATGGATAGATGGATGGATAGATGATAGAGATAGATAGATATATAGATAGATAGATGGATGGATGGATGGATGGATGAATGGATGTGATGAGATAGATGGATGTGATGGATAGATGGATGGATAGATGATAGGGATGGATGAATATGGATGGATGGATAGATAATGATTTTATGATGGAGATAGATGGATGGATGGATGGATGGATGGATGGATGGATGGATGGATAGATAGATGGATGGATGGATGATAGATATAGATAGATATAGATGATGGATGGATAGATGGATAGATGGATAGATGGATGGATAGATGGATGGATAGATAAAGATGGATGATGGATGATGGATGGATGGATGATGGATATAGAAATAGATAGATGGATGGAGATGGATAGATGGATGGATGGATGGATGAAGGATGGATGGATGGATAGATGATAGATGGATGGATGGATGGATAGATGATAGATAGATGGATGGATGGGGATAGATGGATGGATGGAGATGGATGGATAGATAGATGGATAGATAGATGGATGGATGGATGGATGGATGGATAGATGGATGGATGATAGATAGATAGATGGATGGATGAATGAGATGGATGGATAGATAGATGGATAGAAGATATAGATGGATGGATGGATGGATGGATGAATGATAGATAGATGGATGGATGAGATAAAAAAGATGTAGATAGATGGATGGATGGATGGATGGATGGCTATAAGATATAGATGGATGATGGAGATAGAAAGATGTATAGATAGATAGATAGGATAGATGGATATAGATAGATAGATAGATAGATAGAAAGATGTAGATGGATGGATGGATAACAGATATAATAGATGGATGGATGGAGATAGATAATATATAATAATAGATGAATGATATGAATGATATAGATGGATAGATAGATATATATAAGGATATAGATGGATGGATGGATGAGATAGATGAGATATAGATAGATGGATGAGATGAAAGATGTGATGGATGGGGATATAGATGAATAGATGAGATGGGGATGATATAGATGGATGGATGGGGAGATAGAAAGATATGGATGGATGGATGGGGATATGATATGATGGGAAGAGATGGATGGATAGAGGATGGATAGAGATGGGATGGATGGGGATGATGGATGGATATGGGATGGATGGGGATGGGGATAATGAGGATGGATGGAGATGGAATAGATGGGGGGATGGAGATGGATGGATGGATGGATGGATGGATGGATGGATGAGATGGATGGATGGATGGATGGATAGATGGATGGATGGATGATAGAGATGGATGGGGATGGATGGATGGGGATAGATGGATGGATGGGGATGGATGGATGGATATATGGATGGATGGGGATGGATAGATAGATAGATGGATGGATAGATGGATATATATATATAGATATAGATAGATATGGATGGATGATATATATAGATGGATATAGATATAGATAGATATATATAGATGGATAGATATGTATATATATAGATAGATAGATAGATATAGATAGATATATATATAGATAGATGGATAGATAAAGATAGATATGATAGATATAATATAGATATATAGATATAGATATAGATAGATATAGATATAGATAGATATAGATATAGATATAGATAGATATATATATAGATATAGATAGATATATATATAGATATAGATAGATATAGATATAGATATATATATAGATAGATTATATATAGATAGATATAGATATAGATAGATATATATATAGATAGATATAGATAGATATAGATATAGATAGATATAGAGATAGATATAGATAGATATAGATAGATATAGATATAGATAGATATAGATAGATATCTCCAGGTAACCACCAGACCAGAAATTGGAAGGATAAGCAAAGTTATCCTGGATAGAGTTAACAAACAAATTAAATAACACCTTAGACTCATACACTGGATTGGTACCACAGATGTCATTAATTGGTTTAGAGGAATTGGTAACAAAAGCAGCTGCTCTTTTATCCAATTTGATATTATGGATTTTTATCTCTCCATTTCCAAGGATCTTTTTACCCTGGCCTTGGAATTTGCCAAGGAATACTCTAACATAATAATGAACTGTAGAAGATCTGTTCTCATCCACAATAATGAACAGTTGGTTAAGAACTCTGATGATTACTTTGATATTTCAATGGGATCATTAGATTCTGCAGAGTCTTCTGACCTGGTGGGTTTATTTATCCTATATAACCTTAGAGCTAATGAAGATATTAATGCTGATAATGTAAGGTTATATAAAGATGATTATTACTACTAAAATTAAGGTTGATAAATTAAGGAAAATGATTCATAGAGAATTAGAAACTTTAAATCTTAAGGTTAAGATAATTACTAATATTAAACGAGTTGATTTTCTTGATGTTACGTTAGATCTTGTTAATGATGTATTTCAACCTTATATGAAAAATAATGCCAATCCAAAATATATATAGTTCTGTATTAATCTCCCATTAGTATTATTAACATCTTATATGGATGTACTGTATTTAGTTAGTATTTTTAATATCTTGCATTGATCGGTTGGTATTATCAACATCTATGGATATTTTGTACTTAACGATTAAATATCAATTTGCCAAACAATTCTATATGTTTAAATTATTAACTAGTTTCTTAAAGAGTCATCTTATTCATCAACTACAAAAATCTTATGTAGGAAACTCATAAAACATAACTAGTTAGCATCAGGTTAAATTACCTCCCTACCCCCTCCACATTTACTTCTTGTGAAAGTTGATTGTCCGATTTGTACACTTTACACATTAACAACCATCTATATCAGTTTTAATCTAATGTCTGCAATCTGTTTGTAGACAACTTCCTGCCATGACCCATTTCTAAAAATTCTATTTCTTTTTCACTTAGTTTGAATTTAACGTAGATCATTTTCGATTGGTTATCAAGGTAAATCCCTCAAACCTATATTTTTTTCTCAAAAGAAGAGGAAGTATTTTGCTTTTGAATTTAAATTAATTGTTCACTTGCCAGTAATTTACAATTACCTGATATGCGTTGAAACACATTTTAACGTTTTTGATTTACACACACACATTATATATATACAAGATGATTTTATGTTTATACATTCTTTTTATAGATACAAATATTTAAGTAAATCTATAAAAGAATGTATAAACATAAAAATCTGTCTTAAAAAATTATTTTACTTTGTCCATTTCATAAAATATATATATATATATATATATATATATATATATATATATCTTCTGCAGGTTTTGAATTCAGAATTGTCCTTCTCCTAGACCTATTGCCACCCAAGGCTATAGAACCCAGTCTGTCCTGCTATTTACTCATAACCAGGAGGGAGAAGAGATTATTTCATGCACCAGTTATCTGTATTCAGCTATTCCAAAAAGTGTGGTTGGTTCTGCACAAGCCTCACCACCATAATGAAATGATGTGTGGGTAGTTTGGCTGTTGGTTCTAAGAACTGAGCTGCTTGACCCTCATACATCAAAAACAACAGAAGAGAGATTGGGTTTGAATTTTAGTTATTGCCAAATTTAAAAAAAAAAAAAAAAAAAAAAAAAAGTTTGTGTAATTGTCTTATCTGTTCCAGCAATATCTCCACCCACATCCAGTCTTTGTTTTGTTCCAAGTGGCTGGGGAGATAAACTCACAGATGCAATGATAATATTGGAGATTGTCTTCTCATTGTTGCCTCTGACTAGTCGGAGGATAAATTAAGACACAAGAGAAAGATGAGGGAACTATTTATTTCATCAGACTAGTACAGAGAGGCCTAAAGAGCTACAGAGTTCCTATAGAGGGATATACTGGGTGTAACAGCATGGGATAATTGTCCATACCACAAAATTTTTAATACCTAAAAAACCACTAAACTAAATGAGTTTCCTTTTCTAGGTTTTCAGTAAGATATTTAACCATTTTGACACCATTTGTCATAAAAATCACTGAAGAACCCTTCGAGTTATTCAGCTTGAAAGAGAACAGATTAAAATCGTTTTGTGTCAGCTCCACTGTGTCTTCCTAACTGAGCAATCATGAGAGGAAAAAGATCATTCAGGCCTTCAGTAATGGTACCAACATTCATACTCTGGTTTCCATCCTCAAAGTCTATTCAAAAACCATCAAGAGAGCAGTGAATAAGTTAAAAAAAAAAAAAAAAAAAAAAAAAAAAAAAGAGAGAGAGAAACTCTGGATCAGGAGGTCACAATAGCAAGAGGGATCATCATTTCAACTTAAGGCTAAATACATCCTTATTGTTCAAAATAGAGTCTAATGGTGTTATAAAAACCCTGAGAAATTCCAGTAATGTGTCTAATCATTTCTAAGATACAACAGTTCAAAGGTTAACCTAACAATTAGACAATCTTGCTGATGCACGATTTGTAAAATTTTCCTGTTACACTTGATAGATACAGTCATCTAAAGCTTATCATCCACACTGTTCAAATAAGTGATCTTTCTCTTGGTAGAAAGGTTTCTGTACATTGTGTTTCTCTTGTCCCAGCAGACGTTTTTTATATATTTTTTTTTTTTTATAACCATCCACTTTTTCTTCTTTGCTGCTTCTTTATGCTGGTTTTTATTTTTATTTTTTTTTAAATGCAAGATGGACTCTTATTTTTTAAGAAAAAATTTTGGCAAGGAAAAAAGCTACAATCATATTTGAAAGATTTTTATAGCATAAATTAGTAACATATATAGTGAGAGTTTTTATGATCATATTTTTTTTAATGCAAAAAACAGGGTGCTGCACAATACACAAACTTTTTTTTTTGTATTTGAAGGTTAAAAATCATTCATTTTCTGTGATGGGTTGCACTATGCACATGTATATATTTTTCTGGAGAGGTAAAATTCATTCAAAAAAAGAAAAAAAAAATTCAGGAGGTCACACTATACATGAAGTTATTGTATATACAGTATATATAACATAAAAGATCTCAGAAGAACAAAAGAAAATACCATTAACAAAGGTTTACTATTTATTTTTGTTCAAAACCTACAAAATCCTCATTACTTGGAAAGGAATCAGACATTTCATCATTGGATCCAATATTATGATCAAAAGATCCATGATGTTATTGATACCATATTTTTTAAATGACATAACAGTTTTTTTTCCTCACATATTCTTCATCCACACCTTTATCTTCTTCCTGTAAGGGTCAACAAAATCTTCATGCTGCATCCAGTTGTTCCATTCTGATAAAATTGATTTTAAATCATGTTGCAGTCAAAATTCTAATTTTTTTTTTTTTTGGAAAGAAAGGGTGGTAACCAGTTAAGTAACTTTTCTTTTTTTTTAAAATTTTATGAATATATACAAGCATGGGTCACTAAATTCAAAACTTGATATACAGTTATTAACTGAATTTTGATCTAATATTCACCTCTGAATTAAGTACATGGACAAGGAGATTACTAAATAAATAATGTAAATTTCACTCCCATTAAGATAGTTTTATTAATCTACCTATAATAACAATTATAATAAAAAAAAAAATAAAAAAATTATATACATTATTGTTACATTTTTTTACAAAATTAAGTCATATTTAGTAGGGGCAGATAGATAGGTTCACCCATTGTCCGGTTCACACTCCTCTCTGGTCATTTGAACAGCAGTAGATATTTATCCCTTTGTTCTGGTTTAGGATCAAGTTTCTGGTTCCTTCTAAAGTCTTTCATTTTATTTCCAGTATCCCCACGTGTCTTAGTGGCATTAATGCCTTGCTTGGGGTGAATTGATAAAAGAAAAAATATTAAGGGTTTCAAACTTACCTTTGTTTCCTACCACGTGGATGTCTTGGAGGGTCTGTGGCATCAATGAATACATCAAAAAAGATGGGGCGGTATTTTTTGAATGTTACTGTTGAAACAGCAAAATTTCTCTCAAGATGATCAATTTTATCCCTGAAGTCGTGAGGCAAGTTGGCCATGTTGAGCCACTTTTTTCATTTTGCTGAAAACTGTATCAAACTAGTGTAAAAAAAAAAAAAAAAAAAAAAAAAAAAATGAGAGAATACAAAAAATACAACTTAAAAATGAAAGAAGGCAAAAAAAAAAAAAAAAAAACCAACCCAAAAAACACCCCCCCAAAAGAAAGAAAAAAAAAAAAAAAAAAAAGACGTTTTATAGAATCTTATTTTTATAATTCTATCGACTAAGAATCTCAATTCCTGGATAACATGTGAAATCACAATGTAAAAGATTAAAAACTGAATTTATTAAAAATAAAATAGTAATGGTGAAATTAAACCTTTCCATACAGGAAAAATTGAACAGTTAACATCACTGCCAGTTAAAATTTATAAAATCTTTTTATTAAAACAGTTCAAGAAATTCGACTTCTCCAGTTCATTGTTAGATTTCTTTCAAGCATTTATTAGAGGTTTCCTTTCTAACCTTCTGTTTAAAAATCTATAAAAACAATATATCTTGATTATATAATTATTTTTTGCTGTTATTGAAGGCTTTCAAGTGATTTGGCACAGCTTTTTGTGATGTTGTAGCCCCTGCCTATAGGGTTTGATGAAGGATTATCTTCTATAAGACCTAAAGGATTCATTTGCTTAAAGACATTTATGTCTGACAATTGCTATGCGCATGAAACGTGAAGTAACATCAAGTGGTGAGGAACAGATATATAATTCTTCTTAATATGGAATTTTAGTTGCTATCAAGCACTGTTTTATTATTACTACCAACACTATATGTGCTGTATATATAGAATTAATAAAACTGCTCACTCAGCTGAGAGATGTTATATTCAGCATCTCAACTCCAGAGATTCATAGACAAACTTCTTCGTCAGGAGGTTTCAGTGATTGACTGCGGATTTTCTCATTTTTTGTTATTTTTATGCCAAATTTGATATAATTAATTTATGCACTAATTGGGATGTTACGATTAAGGAAGTTAGGTTGAGTTTTTCTTGTGTGCGTGTGCGTATATGTGTGTACACAGCATAAATTCATCCAAGCAAGTTTTAAATTCAGCCAACAAGATCTGTTTAATATTTTTGTTGTATTTTTCCATTTCTCAAATAACTATCATACACCCAAATCAAAATTGCAGGCCAACTGTACAAATTTAATGTTTTGTTCTGTGTTTGTTAAAATACTTTCAACTATCTATCATTATCAAGAATTTTGATGTTGTCAGTATGGTAGATAAGATTTTGTTGACTACATACTGAGAATTTTTTGTTTGTTGGTTTTTTTGAGAGTAATGCTGACATCACTCTAGGCTAATTCATATCCCAGCCAACACTCCAAGGAAAAAAAAAAAAAAAAAAAAAAAAAAAAAAAAGAAAAAGAAAAAAAACAAAAAAAAAAAAAAAAAAAAAAAAAAAAACAAAACAAAAAAAACAGTATATTGCCAACTTCTAATTTCTGCTACTTACTAAGACAATAGAAAGAACAATTTTGATCCTGAACTACATCTTATTCAAAAATTCAAGACAGACTTGGTCAGTTGAATTTAACAAAACTTGTTTGGAAACATATATTGTGTGTGAAGGTAACAGAGGTGGAGGTTTTGTGTACTATTTCCACAGACTTGGCAAAAAATTTTTTTTTTTTTTTACATTCTCTATTATTTGCATTTCAGGCATTTATTTTATTAAGTTAAAAGCTTACATAGCAATAACAAATGAATTTGATGGCTGTATTTGATGGACATGTTATGAATTGTTGATTAATCTTTCATCATCTTTCTGTTGACTTTTAATGCAGTGCACAAATTGATAAAAATTCCATGACCACTAAATAACACAGATCAGAAATAAAAACTATTTCCAATTCATACTTTGACACAAGTGGTTGTAAAATCAGAACCTAAGAGTCTGGAGAAAAGAAAAATTTAAAAAACCCAGCAGAACAAACATGAAAAAGAGGAGTTAAAAATCAATTGACAATAATTCATCCTAGAAATTAGTCAACAATTAACCCACAACTTTTCTGGTGTCAGTTTAAACTGACAACTCCATCCCCACCCCATATATTATGATCATTTTTCATTGGAGGTAGGGAGGGAACAATTAAAAGGGTCAATGTCCTATATTTTTTATTGGTTAACTTTGGGGTGGGCATTTGCGTCTGCTATGCAATGACAATTCTATGAAAAATAATGCAAAAAAATGAACAGATACATCATCAACCTGCAAAGAGTAGCATTCTTTCTTCTGTCAGTAAATATTGGGTATAAATCCTGATCACTGCCAAAGTTTTTACTCTCATTTACAGGTCATTTATTAAATATATGCTTACCTGCCAACCTCCACCCCATTTTCAATGCATAACATACAAAGTAAGTTCTTAAAGTTTCAAAAATAAATTCAAAATATAACTCCAATTCTTAACAAAAATATCTAATTAGTGGCTTACTTTATTTAACAACTCTTCCACACTAGGGTGCTATATTGTGCCACAAAGATTTATAATTTTTGAAAATTGATTTTATATATACATACAAGTTTTGTTAAAGACAACTGACAAGGTATTGCGATTAAGCTTTTTATGTAATTTTTCTTGTGTTCGTACAAGTGTTTTCTTTCCTGGACACAAAGGATGTAAAAACTGAGCCTCATCCACATTTAAAAAAAAAGAGAGAGAGAAAAAATAATGGAAGCACTAATAATAAAAAAGGAAAAGTCAATACTCAATAACATTAACTATGAACACAGTCACAATGTGCTGACCATGTTTGGAAAATAAAACATTCCTATAACTTTAGGTACATACATAAAAAAACCCACACTTCGATAATGGCTTAAAGAATAGTTAAAAGCACTTGGATATACAGAACTTTGAGACAGTTTTTATACAGTGTGTCCAAAAAAAAGAAAACACTTGTATGAACACAAAAGAAAATTAAATAAAAAGCTTAATCGCAGTACCTTGTCAATCATCTTTAACAAAACTTGCATAAAAGAAGGATTGCTGCCCATACACACAATTGTCATACTTACATATATTTCTAAAAAGGTGATGAATTTTTATTAATCCAACAGATTTTATTATTTAAACATTATTTTTAGTGGATACCCATATTTGAGTAGTTGCTCACTTTATTTTCATGTACAGGCTGGTAGATGAAAATAATTAAATATTATAGTGAATAAACAAACGGAGCATCTACTCAAATATAGGTATCCACTAAAAATAACAATTATTTTACATTTTACCTAAAACAAAGAAAAGATGCTACTGTGATGCGTGTAATAGTAAAAATTTAGCTTGTTTTTGTTTCAGCACATGCTTCGTTTTATCTTTTGGTTTTATGACCAAGGTTAGATCACTTATTTTTTTATGGTGATTTCACTCTCTGAACATTTTAATATGTAATAATTAGAGTAAATAAAAAGCTATAGTATATAAAAAAAAAAAAAAAAAAAAATAAAAAAAGCCCACTATTAATACAAATTCAAAGCAGCTGGCCTCCAAGTTTAACAAAAGGCTGTTTCCATGGTAACCTCTACTTATTGGAAATTTTGCCTCAGATATAGAATACATGCTTAATAAAAACTTTAATCTAGTTCAAAATGGTGACTAACCATATGATTCAAGAAGACTGCAAAAAAATTGGGCTAAATATTCTTAGGGTCAGAGGAAACTGAGTGAAAACAATTAACTGACTTTGCTGTATCTAATGATGGATTTCTCTTTCAGATTTTTTTATATTGTAGGCATCCTGTTAATTGGAGGTCAGCCATTATCTGAATCTTGAAATTGGAAATGCTTTGCTTCTTGTTTTAAGATGGGAGCAGGAAAGTTTATTGATCATTAATTTTCTTCTATAAATAAAAGTTAAAATTCTGAAATAAGAAAAAAATGAATAAAAAAAGAAAAATCATGATTCCTTTTCTTTACATCAAGTTTAACCCATCAAGCTTTACAATGGCACTTTTAAAACAACTAGAATTTTTTTACAACATGCTGATGTGTTGAAATCCGCACAGTATTTAGTATTGTTGAAGTTTGTGCTTCTTCGGCCCTTATGAAAATATCCTTACTCTTTTTATATTTATAAAGCTACTACTGTGCATTATATTTTACCAGAATGAGATATATATAAAAATTTAAAGAAAAGATATGCAAAAAAAAACAAAAAAACAAAAACAAACATTGCATTTTTATTAAATAAGTATTTGTTATTTTAATTATTAAAAAAAAATTAATATTTCCAAAAAAATTAATAATTTATTGTACTAAGCTTCACATTCTAGTAACACCAACTGTACTTTGTACCCCCTTACCCGTTTGCACTTCATCCCAAAATTTGGTTTTAATAGGACAATGCATAGATATTTTAGAGGGTGTGATGGACTAACAGAAGTTACAGAATTTTATATATAAGTAGATGCGCTGCTTAAAATATATTTGATTCTTCTTTCTCACAATTTGACAAGGACTCATGCAAGTTGAAGCCTTAAACTTAGGCTACTTATCTTACATCTAAAACAGCACATATTTGTGAAAGGATGTTTGCATTTTAGAAAGAAAAAAAGAATAGATTTAATAGACATAAAATGTCTTTTCAAGAAAACATTTTTATTTACAATAACAGTTACTGCATATAAACAAACAAACACACACACAAATAAAAAACAAGGCTGAAAAGTTCTTGGCCCAATAAAGGAATTTGAAAAAAAAAGAATTCTGATGTTTGGTCAGGTTTTGGAAAGTAAGTCAAAGCCAAGAACTATTCAGTACCCCATGATAATAATTAAAAAAATTGACCCCCCCCACCACCACCACAAAGTATCAGTAATTTGACTACCAATTTATTCTCCAACATTTTAAACTAAAAGATGTTCTTCAGTTATTGTTTTCA